TCTGATCAATCATCGGACAATTTAGACTTTTTGGTGTGCTTCTCATCAGTCGGTTATTTTATTATTAGTCTAACTTCACGTGCAAACCCAGAAAATGATGCAAATTAGATAAAAATATATACCACTTGTTTTTCATATCAAAACTTGGAACTCAAAACTTCCACAGGCAAATTCCTTTTACAGAAATAGTTGAACTGTAATTCGTTTCCTTCAACTTCTCAGGGACGATGAAAAGTTAAAATGATTCAATTTTCTTTTGTCAACGAACGAGTTCAAGTTTTTCTCAAATTTTCACTATAATGTTATTTATTCAAACTAGAACGTTACGATTGCAAAATAAATAAATATATAAATAAAATTAATCGTGATTTATCTATTTTTTTTTTTCAAAACCTTATTGGATCAGACTGTTTGCCTACATGTATGGCGAACTGGTTTATCGACCGGTGCATTTCGCTTGAATAAAACGTTTGCTAGCAAACTGGACAACAACAGTCGGTCGCATTGGCAGGACCTGATCAGTTTTTAAAATAAAGTTTTTTTGCATTTAGCATTATTTTTAATATGAATAAACTACATATGTAAAAGTGCTATATATATTAAAGTATTAATAACTTAAATTCTTGTCCACCAATAAATCATTAAATAAATAATTTAATCGGTCTGGTGGCCGATTATGAGAACCTTGAATTTGACATACATTAATAAAAAATTTAATACAATATCATTTTGTTTACATAAATATTAATAAAAAGATATATAACTGTTCATAAATCATTGGAGATGTTGTCATAAAAGCCTTTCTAATATAATTATTTGGAGTTTGGACTACATTACATTATCATAATAAAGTAATTTTTAGTATTAAAATTTCTAATTGTGTTAATAATCGATTTGGCCTGACAAAATTGACCCATAATTTAGTCACCCGGATCAACCTAAGTTGTGTCATTTTTTTTGACTATTTTGAATATAACCTAAAATTATAAACACAATCAACCTAGGCAGTATAGCTAATTCAATCAACAGATCAATCTAAAAAACTTGCTTATTTTTTTAATATTTTATAATTTTATGAAATTATAAATATTTTACGCTTCATGTGGTTTGTAACAAATGAGAATATACTAAGATTATATTTCTTACTATATGCATACAGCATATTTATCAAAAAATATGATAATTTTAATATTTTAAAATTAATTGATTGATTATTCGATTAACACGATGATGCCATATCTTGTAGTGTGAGTTACTGCGTAGCAGATTTATTCATCATATGAATTGAATTTTTGTAGTATGTTATTGATAACTTATTAAATATCACAAATGGATGGTGTTATAACGAAAAAATTACTTTACAAATAAATTATATTCTCATTATATATATATATATGTGTGTGTATATAAACTAAGACAAATTGTTATAGTTATTATTCTATATATTGTTAATTTAATTTTTCTTTTTCAAAAGGCAAAACGCTTATATAAATAGAAATTCAAAAAGAATACAGAGGGGATGTCAACTGACACCAAACTTTAAATTTAAATACAAATTTAAATATAAATTAGAATTACATTTGATTATATAATTGCTAATAAAAAATTAATAAAATTATTAGATTTTCCATTTTTTTTCTTTTCCAATTCAATAATATTTTTAAATCCTGTAACTGAAACTTAATCAATGACTTTGTTGACATCCGAGTTAGCCAGAAGGAAACTGGAAGACGACATCCTGATAAACCGGGCCGGGAAATCGGTCCAGTACGCTAAGTGCCGAGCTGAATTTCGAATTTAGGTAATCATGACCATCACAGGAACAGTTCATGAGATCGGCACCCGGCACCAAAAACCCGAGGTGCCGATCTCACTGGATGTCGGGCTAAAAAAGCGATCCTGAAGGCTCAAGGAGCAGATTTGATTGGGGTGCCGACCTGGAGGCCCAGAGCAGCCACTCTGGGGACGAGCACGGACCTCGATAATATAATAATGCCACTTGGAAGGTCATCACTGGCGATGGGACAGGCCGCCATAGCCTGCCACCCTACCGGAATCTAGCTCGACAAAACCTGTCAGGCATTAAATGCCTCAATGTGTGCATTTAATGCCTGACAGGTAAGGATTGAAGGAATATCAAATCGCATTTAATAACCGTCAGGGAGGCACCGGACTGCTCTGCAAGAACACTGTGCGACAAGACTGGTGAACAGTACCTGAACAGTAGCTTAAGGATACTATAAATAGGAACCCAACACATTTATTTTGGGTTGTTGAATCTTCTCTATATTTTCTATCTCTAGAAACCTGTAATAAATCCATATAATAATTCCAACTGTGACGGAAGTGTCGACCTCGTACGAGAGGCCGACCTCGTAATTACGTAATACAACATAATCAATCCGTATCTTCTCTCTGTTTTCAGTCCTTTACTTTCACTAAACTTTATTTTAACCTTTGATCGGATCCGTCCATCAACAGACTTTTTTTAACATAATGGTTAATTAAAAAGTAATCACGTTTTTATTTCTTCTATATTATATAATAATTATTACTAAAACTAAATAATTATAATTCACACTAAATGGTATACGAAAGTTCAATAAGTATAAAAAATTATATTGCATTTTTTCTTTGTTAAACTATTTATTGCTCTTAAATATTTTTTTAATAAGCTAATTGGCTTTGGTGGTATAATCAAACCTCTTAAAATTTTATAAATAATAATAATAGTAATAATAATAATAATAATAATAATAATAATGATAATAATAATAATAAATAATTTTTAAAACTACATTATCCATTTCGTATTATGCATTCAATAAATTGATGACGTTGAATAATTTTGTAATGTTTAATTTTGCTAATAATAAATTTCTAAAATGTGATACTACTATCTAACTTCTAATTTATATTATATACGTATATATATATTTTATAATTATCTGAACATTTGTGCATGTGCCCATGATCGAATACTAGTATAAATAATTGTTGGTAAACAAGTCGGATAGCGGTTTTTTCTTCAATAGCCCGACTAGGACCATGGGTCGATTGGTAAAATTCTAATTTAATTTAACATGTATATCTAATTTATATGTATTATTTTGTAATATTAATTGAATATGGTAAAAGACACAACATTAAAATTTTCTAATATTAAATAATATTGTAAAATTACAAAAAAAAAAAA